GAGAGAGAGAGAGAGAGAGAGATGGAAGCAGGGCATGGAGAGAGGGAGGGGGAGAGAGGAGAGAGGGAGGGGGAGAGAGGAGAGAGAGAGGGAGTTGCCTTGTGCTGACTGTTGTTGTGTGCTTCGACTCCTTGTGGTGCAATTGCGTTCTTCTACAGGTACCTCCACGTTGGTAGGGACATGGTGGCCAGCCTTCAGAACTTGGCGAGGTGTAACTGTGGATTTTGCCACATTGCGAACGTTGAAACACACGAGCAAGATGACCACATGGAAAGCTTCTTCTTGAGTGAGACGGTATGATCGTTTTCTCCCCTCCATCTCCTCTTTTTTTTCATGCATAGCAGCATGATGTGTCCTCTGCTTTTTGCTTTCTGTCACTTCGCTGCTCGGCTTTTGCAGCTCGATCAGAGCTTATTTCTGATAGAATTAGAGTCCTGAAAGAAAAAGAAGAAAAACAAGAAGCAGAAGAAGAAGGCCTCTTTTCCCTTTCATATGTCTTGTGTCTGATCTAGTTTCATTATCTCCGTCTGCGCTCGGATTGCTTCATCTTTAGCAATCAAGTTTCGAAGCTCATACCAACTGGCCTAGCTCAGTTGATACACCCATGAACTGTTGAAATACAGACCTGAGTTCGATCCCACTGGAAGGAGTTTTGGAGGACGTTTTGGACTGAATTTGACCACAAATGCGGCCAAATGCAATCCAAAAAGTCCTGTTGTGTGTATGCCAGTCTTTGCACCATTTCTAGAGGACGTTTTGAACGGTATCTGTTCACAAACGTGGCCAGATGCAGTCCAAAAAGTCCTGTTCTGTAGTCCGTTCCCCGTTTTCTGCCAGTTCGACCGGTTTATGAATTCAGTTCAATTCTCACAATTTGGCAGAGTAATGGCATATGACCAGCATTGAAGAATTATCCAAAAAGAAACTTCAAATAATCAGTCCGAAATTTTTGAATAAAACGAAAAAAAAAAATTAAAAATTAAATTAAAATTTTAAAGGAGTATTTTACTATTTTTTGCCCAAAAGTTTTTTGTTACTTCGCTCCGGACTTTTTAGAGTCAGCTCTGGACGCGATTGCAGTCAGATTCATCTATATATTAGGCCATATTTGTGAATGAACTTCAATGAAGTGACTTTGGGAGGGGGGGTAGGGGGCTGAGGCACAGGCATATGCACACCAGTAGACTTTTTTGAGTC